AACACACTAAATAACTAACACACTAAATAACTAACACACTAAATAACTAACACACTAAATAACTAACACACTAAATAACTAACACACTAAATAACCTTAGCTAAGAGGAAAATCCTTATGCATATACCTTAAGTATATGCTTAATAATTACTTACATTTTGTTATTACTTAGCTTTTATAAGTTAGCTATAAAATTAGCTTATAAAAGTTATGTTGCGTTTGCTAAAAGGTTAACCTCCTAGCTAGCACAGCAGAAGGATATATATAGACGGATAGCTGTACGCGACACACCCCCCAGCTCGAACTGTGGAACGAGAGAGGTGAAACATGGTGAAACAACCTCACCACACTCTCCCCAGCCTGAGCAACAGAACTTAGAGACAGATCTAAATACAAGGTAGCCTCTGTAATAGGCGCACTGCCTAAATGCTCTTTGCTAAGCGTAGGAATTAAACACACAGTGCTTTAAGATAATGTAATCCTATTAGTAGAGTAGGGGTGTATAAATTTTTAAGCGCTAACTATCTACACTACGCTGCAAACTAGGCTTATAACTGTTGTGTTTGCTAAAAGGTCAACCTCCTAGCTAGCACAGCAGAAGGATATATATAGACGGATAGCTGTACGCGACAAGTTATCTAGCATGTTAGTTATTTATTATTTTAAAAGACTTTGTACATAGCTATAGTATATTATTTTAAGAGTGTTGCGTCTTATTTAAAAGCCTAACGTGTAGGCTATATTTAATATTTTTAGCGCGTCTAAGTAGTGTTGTTAGGAATGCATTAGTGTAAGAAAAGTAGTTTAGTAGAGTCTTAGTAAAAGTAAGCAACTTTAGTGTGTAAGCAACTTGCCTGTGATGTACGTTATTTAACTTTTTTTAGTGCATTTAAGTAGTGTTGTTAGAAATGCATTAGTATAAGAAAAGTAGTTTAGTAAGGTTTTAGTAAAAGTAAGCAACTTAGGTGTTTAAGCAACTCGCCTGTAGTGTACGTTAACATACAATACGCCTCCCCCACTTGGTTGTAAAGACATACAGCATCACCTATCTCCTAAGAACTTAGTAGATATAGGTGAAGGATAACATAACACTGTTTATATCTGCAGAGAGGTGCACATCCAAGTTAGCACCCTATAGCACGTTGCATTAGACACAAAATAGGGCGTAAAGTGCATACTACTTAGATCTCTCTTAGCTATAAAAAGAGGGAGGGCATTTTAAGAACAATAATACAGATCTGTAGTAGATCTAATTCTACCCTAGACATATAGAAAGAAAAGAAAGTTACTAAAAAGGATAAACAAGTTAAAAAAGCAACAGTAGTCATTAAGTCTAACTCTTAATTGCCTTAACTCTAATTTTAAAAAGCATCATGCCTAGCGCTTTCTAAATTGCGATACTAGACTGTCTTGTACAGTAATATATGCATTAATTAATTAATACTAATTCACATCTCTTCTTCCCCACCCTAGGCTTAGGTCACTACTACTAAGTTGCTTACTAGAAGCAGCTTAAAGATCTAGACTAAACAATGTCCTTGTAGTAATTAGCGTAAACTTAGCTATTGCAATTATTTTTCTAGCATAATTTATAGAGCTAGTAAGAAATAGATAATAACACGCTCTAAGCTAGTTTACTTTCTTAGTTGTTACTCTAGTTTTGTTAGAGACGATGTATGTTTCAGGGCGAAATCTATTTAGGTTGCTAAAAATCACCTTATTACAGTCTATAGAGTAGCCTAAGCACCTAACCACAACCTCTTACAAGAAGTACTCTCTATTAATAGTTGTTCTACTAGAGAGCACTTCTTAGCTAAGCTTACTAGGCCTCGGGGGTGTTAAACGCAGACTTTTGTTAATACATGCATGTAGATATAAGCATAAAGCTAGCTTTAGGCTATTAACAATCTCTGCTAAAGATGCAAATGTAGTGCAAATTTTCTTTATAATCTTTAAGTATGCTAAGGCATTGCGGGAGAGGTAGAACTAGAATCTAGTTATAGCAGTTAAAAAGCTCTCTAAGCCTGCAACAATTAGAAGAAGCGCTTTAGCTCTTAGAGCTTTCTCTGTATATAGTAATTTACCTATGTCTAGGTTTTTGCATTACACAAAAAGTAGAACATATCTAGTCTAGGTGTGTTAGTGTTCTTTATATCTTTTTCCTTTTAGATCTGTTGCAACATGCTATTGTAGATAAACTTATAATATAGCTTAACTTCTTTTAGTGTTATTAAATTAAAGAAATAATTTAGCCCTCTAGGCTTAGCCTAGACAACAAATTCTATAAGTAGGGATCTAGTAATCTACAACTTGTTAGAGCGGCTTTACTAGCAGCGTTAGACTGACAGGGTAGAAGAACAAGACATAGTTGACAATATAGTAGAGAATATCCTAGATTAGATTTTGCCTAGGCTCTTTAATCTTAAATAATTTTCTAAAGGCTAAATCACCTAATATATTAAAGATAAGGTAACTTGTCTAGGTTAAAATATTACGCAGTTTTAACTATCCTTGTCTATCCTTCTTACTTTCCACTATAAGCTTAATCCACCTCTCTGTATGTTTAGTTACGAATACTGCTGCGTGTTTAACAGACTTGTCTATAAAAGCTTAGTTTAACAGCCTTCTTTTCTAGGCATAGCTAGCGGGATCTGTGGTTGTTATAGTATTTAGCTTATTCTTATTCCTAACCTAAGCCTTATCTGTTTTACACCTTTTTATATTTACTTTTAACCTGTAGATATTACAATGCGCTTTTAGATTAAAGAAGATAACTGTATTTAGTTTAATGCAAATCTTGTCTTCTTATCTAGAGTTTAGCTAGATTAGTTGAAGATAATTTTGTATATAATGTAGATCTAAAAGCTCTGCTACAACTATATATAAAAATCACCTTTTATAGCATAATAAAAGGATAGTAGCATGGATATCTTAGCTAGGAGTGGCCCTAGATACTTAGACAGAGGATAGAAGAGGAAATTGTAAACAGAGTATATTAAAACCTAAAAATAGGAATCTTAGGGGTGATATCTCTTCTAAGTGTATTTTAAAAGACAGCTTACATAGCTAATTAAGACTATATAGAGTAGGACAAACAAGTTATAATAGGTAAGAGTTAAGGTGCTAACTAGAGCGCTAGTAGATAACATAACAATTAAAGCAGTCCTCATTACTAAAGAAATTAAGTACTGCTCTCTAAAGTAAATAATGCCTATAGGAATAGGTAGTTAAAAGATTAAGTCCACAGCAGAGCTGTGGTGCAGTTACGGAGGTTACAAGAGCAGTCCCGGTGTGCGCAATGACCGTCCCAACACACTGGTACTTCATCCGGGAGGGGAGGCACGCATTTGCCCTCTGTAGGTTGGTGGCACAGCGGAAAGGGCTCGCCCGCGCAGTTCTTCCCTTTATAGGCAAGCATCTCGACATTCTCCCGCGCTTTGACCGTGACACGCACAACTAGCGATTCCGGTAGGATGGTAATTCATGGGCTAACTGCGGTAAGACGGCACGGTTTGGCTCAGCCTATTATCTTAGAAGAGTGAAATCTGGCTTACCGCAATATAAAACAACAGTGGTAACCTGCTCTCTACCACCTAATAGATATAGTTTAAATGCATAAATTTCAAGGCTAGCGTACATACCAACGACAAAAAATCACAGAAATACAATTTCTGTCAAACTGCGCCTTATTTAGGCTTAGAGCATCCTGTATCCGATACCCAGATGGACAACATAAAAAGTCAACTGCAATCTTTGCACCCAGAAATCAGCAAGATTCTTGCGATAAGCGGATCCCCTGCCCTTTCGCTTGGAGTCCTTCACCAGGGAAGAATCGTCCACACTGCGCATTTTGGCCGCCGCAACGAAGACGATCTCGTTGTACCAACCGATAAGACCATTTATTGGATCGGATCACTGACCAAGATAATCACTGCGACCGCCGTTGCTCGACTTGTACACGAAGCTAAGCTTGATTGGGACGTGCCCATCAGAGAATACCTTCCTGTATTTCGAGTAAGACAGGATGAAATCGGCCTCAAGGCGACTTTGAGAGATCTTCTGTCGTGTCGAACCGGAATTACACCGGCCAACAGCCTATGGAATCTACAGTATGGCGAAACCCTTATTCCGAAGAGTGAAACATCCTTCACAGCAACTTATTTAGATGCGGTGAAGCCCTTCCGCGAAGGTTGGGTGTACTCCCAATGGAACTACACACTGGTGTCCGACGTAGTGGAGGCGGCGGGAACTCCGCTATGCGAGTATATTGAGGAGACTTTATTTCACCGTCTCGGTATGAGTCAAAGCTCATTTGCTCCTCCCCACGAATCTAATCCTGATGTCGCAAATGCTCACGGTATACGCAACGACGGCACTCCTTCTCGAATTCCAAACTCGAATCTTACGGATGCAGGAGCCGGCCCCGCCGCTGGAGCTAAAAGCTCCATCAGAGATCTTTTAACTTTTCTGAGCGCCCTCCTTTCAGCCCATAAGCACCAGAAGGAGAAAGCAGTGGACGCGACACCAGGATCACCTTTTGCCCACATTAGACCAATTTTTGAGCCGCAGATCGGTTTCGGGCCTCCAGGAAGGTCTCGTATAAACGACGCCGGATACTGTATGGGGTTGTATCGAACACGGCTCCCTGGATACCTCAGCGTTGCCAGTCCAAACTTCACTGCACTCGGCCGCAAAAGACTCGTTCAATACGGAATGCAGCTTAGAGGCATGGAGGTCTATCACCATGCCGCCTCAATCCCTGGTCACTTCGGTGCCATGTACTTAGTACCATCTATGGAGAGCGCTGTGGTTGTCCTCACCAACTCACAGCCTTTGGTAGACCCGGCAGACTTCGCAGCGCAACTGGTGTTATCGGTGCTGCTGGATGAGAAACCTTCTGTTGATTTTGTGAAGATGGCGGATCTAGGAAGATCGATTGCATTTGAAGGGTACAAGCAGCTCGCAAAGGCTGTAGAGGAAGGTAAAACGGACAAGCCTCCTTCAAAGCCGCTTGTGGCTTATGAAGGAGACTATTTCAATGCCATTCATAATTTCGTTCTCTCTGTTGCAGCTACCGGGGATGGGCTTAGCATGGTTGTCCAGCGGAAGAAGACTGGTTTCGTACTATTACCTTACGACGGAGATACATTTTATTGGCCGGTAGATCGAGAAGATGAGGTTTGCAACAAGGCGATGTGGCCATTCACGTACCCAGACTGGCATAGAGTCTACTTCGAAAGTAACGCTAATGGAGCAGTAGAGCGATTGATTTGGAGGCATGACCCATATCTTCTCAATCCTGAAGTTTTCACAAAGACTCCAAAATCGGCGATGGACGCTAAGCTGTAATCTATAAGTACTACTTGCAAATCTACTGTATTGCTAATTTGCCGGTCTTGGAGGACTTTCTTTTTTGGGGACGTTTACCGCAAGTCTCGACCACGGCATATTTTTATATCCATATAGAAAATGACATTCATATGCGTCGGGCGCAAGGCAGAGGCACAGCAAACAATGCCTGCGGTGAGTTCACGGAGATCCTAGTAGATCTTGCATAGCTGAGAAGGGGTCATAGAGTAAGCGAGTTGACAAGGTATTAAGATCTAAAGAAGGTGAATTGTACTAGTGTATTGTAAGGTCTAAGGAGCTCAAGAGAGCTCTAGGCTAACTATGTACTTTACAAGAAAAGAGCTAGTACTGATAAGTAAATAGTGCAGTCCATAGGTATAGTATCACGTGAGACACGTGCAACACACCCCCCTAGCTTTAACAAAGTAAATACTAAAGTAAAGCTGTATAAAAATAACTAATAGACTATAAGTGTATATAAGTGCACTTAAAAGTGTAAAATAGTAAAGAAGTTAGTAGGCTTAGGCTTTAAAGCTAATATTAGTAAAGTAAGCCTTTAAAGTGTTAACATACACTATAGGCAAGTTACTTACTTTTACTAAGACCTTACTAAATTACTCTTCTTACACTAATACATTCTTAATAACACTACTTAGATGTGCTAAAAAAACATTAGATATAGCTTACTGTTTGCAGTAATCACACGATAGTCAGATGCGTCATCACCATGGTCGCATGCGTCGTCACCATGATCGGATGCGTCGTCATCATAGTCGTATGCGTCGTCACCATGATCTGTTGCCAAGACTCACCCACTCATTTCGCATGTATATAGACTCCTACAAAGGACTCCTCTAGATAGACAATACAATCCAGTTCCTCATGTCTTTGGTGCCTCACATAGCTTCACACTTACACTTTAATCTTTTAAATAAAATGTAACACTTTTAAAGTAACATGCTATATGTCGGTTAACCTAGGTTCGATCGAACGAACGTACGCCCAAGGGGCGTACTAAGAGGTGAGCAGGCAAAGATCTTCTTGTTATTGACTACTGCCCTCTCTCTTTGTACAAAGAAAGAGGACTCTTAAGTACACATAGCCCCTAACGCACAGGCTAGATAGCCAACGTTTCAGGCCACCTAATTCATCTGTACTTACGTACAGACAGTAAATAATTATAACTTAGACTTTTTTTAAATAGAAAATAAAGACACTTAAAGAAACTTTTTATTTTAAGCTTAAATAAGTATAAATTAGTAAATATTAACTTATTACACTTATTTAAAGAAAAACATTTTTAAGTTTCTACTATTTTATGCTTAAAAGGCATTAAAGTTTAGTTAAATCTTTTAGTTAATACTAGCACATATAGTTTTTTATTTATTAACTTAATAACTACTAAGTTTTTATTTTAATACTTTTATATTCTTATTTAATGTTTACTTTTTAAAGTTATAGTTAAGAGCTTTTAAGACTAAATCTAAGTTCCTGTCTACTAGTATATCTGCCTATATATATAAATTAATAGTAGAAGTATCTAAAACTACTTCTTTATAATTATAAACTTTAGCTTATAAGATTATATTATTAGTATTAAATAGCTATGTTGTTTTAAACTCTAACTAAATATAAAAAAAAAATTAGATTATATAGCCTAGTAAGTATTTTACTACTTATAAACTTTTACTACTTTTACTTATGTAATTAAACTAGCCTACGCAGGACAAAGAAGTAGAGTTAGATATTAGACAACGCAACACACTATAGAAAAAAAACTATATTTAGTAGTTATATAGCCTAATAATTAACTGCATTAAGGGTTTACTAACACTACTAAAATTATACTACTTTTCTATTACTTATAGCCTAATAATTAACGGCATTAAGGGTTTACTAACACTACTAAAATTATACTACTTTTCTATTACTTATAGTCTAAAGACACTTAAATTATTAATCTACTTATTTATTAAGAAGTCTAGAATAGGTCTAAAAGACATTTGTTTTTCTACTATTACTTTTATTTTAGTAAATGCTTTTTATTTTATTATTAAAAAATAAGTTTTTTTTAACTTTTATTTATAAAATTAAGTGTTTAATTAAAGAAAAGTACGCCTTATTATTAAATAATAAATATAAAACTAAAGTATTAGTAAACTTTTAATTACTATTTAAATACTGTTAGTACTAAGACATATTTAGCTACACTGCAGCCTACTAATTACTAGCACATTGCCTATATAACTATAAGATTGTCTTTACAGAACCTTTACTTAACAGTTACAGCCCTTTGTATAAATAAAATGTTAAGAAACTAAAGGTAATAAAAAAGTATGTTATAAATAATGTAAAATATAGTTTTATTAAGTAAAGTTAGAGCTCTTTTATATCTCTTATCTTTTATGTACAAAAACTAAATAGCAACTTATATATTTATGTTAATTACTATAAACTTAACGCTATTACCTGTAAAGATGTGTATTTAATACTGCGCATAGACAAACTTTTATTAAGACTTATAAAAGTAGCTATTTTTATAAAGTTTAATATTTGCGCAGCCTTTAATAAGATTAAGATAGACTTAAGCTCTAAAAAGTGTACTACTTTTTAAACATAATATAAAATATATAAATGTAAAGTTTTACTTTTTAAATTATGTAACATTGTCAGATTTGCGCACCTACTGTCAAGACAGGAGGAACGCTTGACGAAAGCTGCTACATAGTACAAGCAATAAGCTCGAACAGTATGTTGCTGCAAATTGCAGCATTTTGCAGCATGTTGCAGCA